GGTGGACACCATGGCTGGAGCAGGCGTCGATTGCGTCGAACCCCGGCTAGTGGCCACCATCTCCTCTCCGCCTCATCGTCCCTTCACCGTGCGTCGCTGCTTCCCTGGTGCGACTCGCGGCTGTCGTGAGTCAACCCGGCAGCTAGCTTTATTCGTGGTGGCTTTTGCCTCCCTATCAGTCGGCGCCAACTCCTCCTCTCGCGCATCAATCGCTGGCCCCGAGAAGTCTACCAGCCGGATGAGAGACGATGGCGAAACCGCCAAGCACGACTCCGGCGAGGCATCCCGCTCTTCCTCGCCTGCTCTCAGCTTCTTTTTCCTGAACTTCCACGTCGAGACCTTCCCCTTTTCTGTGGCTCTCCGATTAGTCATGGTCCTTCCCAGAGAACCAAGTGTTTTCGATTGACGCAGCTCGAGGGTCTCAATTCTTGCTGCTTCGAACCTAGCTTCATGGTTACTTCCCTCAATGTCATTGGCAACGAGGGTTTCAACCTTCTTCACTGGACGCGATGCTGTCGCAGGAACAGGGACTAACGTCGCCGCGGTCTGCTGCAGTTTGCTCGCCGCTGCTTCTTCCTGCTTCTCGGCGTAGGGCGACGCTTCTGCCTTGGTCGGTGGCGCGGCCGCCATCAATTCTTCTATAGTCGCTAGCATCACGTGTGGCCTGGATCCACCTCGTTCATGCTCGATTGGGAACGTAGGTTGCTCCAACCAATCTTTGAAATACCTTTCTGCAGCTGCGGCCTTCGGCAATGGCGGTGGATCTTCCTTCATCGGCTCTTCTAACGCGATAGCTGCGGCTTTGGGTGGAGCATCTCGTGCGATGTTCCTGGACAACAGCAAGAACGAGGTACCCTCGTTCTTCCATACCTCTTCCACCTTCAACTTCTGCATCTTTGCGAGTTTTCCGATTGAGAGCTCGAAGTTGGTCGAAACCATAGTACGAGTGCCAAAACCGGGCTCTGATACCAATTGTAAGAAACACGCTTCTTCGAGTTTCTTACGATTAACGTACCTGGATAAATAGAAGGGATTTTTGGGGTTGAGAATAGAAATTAGGGATTTAGACGAGAAAGAACATAATAGATAAAGAATCGGCCTAAGCCTTGGATTGGTTGAGACGAGAAATTAGGAGTTGAGAGGATAAACTAGGGTTTAGGAGATTTTTCTTAATATTCTTCTTGATTGATTATGAGTTATGACGTAAACCCAAAATACATATTCCTACCTAATATGATAATAGAAACCCCAATAGAGCGTGTTTTTGACGCCCTCAATGCTATATCGGATTGCATGACTAACATGGCCGATTATATAGGAAAAATGTCCAACCAGATGAGCACACTTTAGGTGGCTGTAACTTAGATGAGGAATGGATTTCGATCTTTCAGTGGAAGATACAATTATCCCAATACATCCGAGCACCAGAATTTTAGCAGCACCAATCGAGATAATCAAGATGAGTGAGTGGAGAGAGAGATCAAAGAATTCCAGGAATTATATTATACTTTTTATTTCTTTTGGTGTGATCTATTAAGCTTGTAAGATGATTTGTTTTAAAGTAACTATGATTGTGGATTGAGATTAAACTATTGTGGTTTTGAATTTGAGATATGTGTGAACTATTGTGAGGTGTGCTTATTGTGTTTTGGTGTTAATGATTAATCTTGTAAGAAGATATGATTTCTTGCTATTATGATTCTCGATTGAATGTCATAATTTCTAGGCAAAATACACTTCCATATCCACAACTATTAGGTTTGTGACAAATATATCCACATCTATCGAAATACACGAAATACCCATTTCCGTCCACTCCGTTAACGGTGTCAGTTAACAGAGTGACTGGACTAACAGGGAATGCTTAGTTGGCGATATTTGTCCCCACAAATCCACGTGGATTAAAAAAATATAAAACATAATAAGACTAATAATTGCGACATTGGTTTCGCCCAAATCTTCCTTCCCAATATTTGCTTTCTTCTCAAACTCTCCCGATTCGTCACTGCAGCCATGGAAAATCAACCAGCGAAGAAGCTGCGAGAGAACAACAACCATGAAGTGATGAAGAACAAGCAACCGATGGCTCTCTTACTCTTGGGTTCGCCGTCACTGTCGATCTCGGTCATATTCGAAAGTGGAGGAGGAAAATTGGCGGTGTACGTTGTGGTGGTTGACTCCCTCCTACTCACGGCGACGGACTGAGAAGGAAGAAGCGATTTGTGACGGCGACAGTGGTTTCCAGCAAGTCTTCTTCGCTTCCTGAATTTGATTCCACCCATTAAATTGGCTTTTGGGAATCTCTGGTTTTTATTAGGTGTCCAGCTGCATCAATTCAATTTGATTTTTGGAATCCCTAATTTAGATTATTTCTTTCTTTTTCTCCTTGTTCGAGCCTCCAACATCACTGGACATCAATATACCCTCCAGCAAATCTTCACACGCATGGTGTTCGCTCCAGCAACTCCGCCGACAAAGCCACCGCCGTGGCGTGGACACGAAGATGCGCGCAAGTTTCGGTGGCTGGACGGCGACCAACAACGGCAAATGTATTGATGGTGGCGCAACGCTTACAATTTTTTTTTATTTTTCTTTGGATGCAGTGGGAGTTGGCAGAGATGAATCGATGACGGAGGGCGGCCGGGGGGTGGGTGGGTTTGGAATGGCGGTGGAAGAGGGAGGAGGGGCGGAGATGGGAGGAAGTTGAGGGGGTGGGTGGAATGGTCGTGGAAGAGGGAGGAGGGGTGGAGGTGGGTGGAATGGCTGTGGAAGAAGGATGAGGGGCGGAGGTGGGAGGAAGGGGAAGGGTCTGCGGTAGAGAAGCAATTTTTTTTATTTTTCATTAATTTTCTATTAGTAAATATTTATAAGTAAATATGACGTGTCACTTGGTGCTGACTTGTCGATGATGTGTGCGCTGAAATGGCGTCCTAATCAGCGTATTGCTAACAGATCTGACGGCGTCACTAACACCGTTATAGTTTCAGACGGAAATGGATAGATTTGTCACACAAACTTCCGATTTTTGGATATTTCGTGTATTTCGATAGTTGTGGATATATTTGTCACAAACGTGATAGTTGTGGATATACAACTGTATTTTGCCTAATTTCTATGGTAATTTGTTAGATTTCAGAAAGTGCATGATATTCTGGGTTCTATGAAGTCGATTGGACTATTACAAAACTCGACAGGAATAGACAACTCAAGATTTTGTTCTTGCACAAGGTCGGCCGTAAAATTAATCGTTTTAATCTACCAAGAGGATGGTTTGTTAAGTTTGAGGGTCCTGTGTTCTTTCGTGTGGTTGACCTTTTCATTGGAATGATCGATCTCGTCTTGATTTTCTTGATATGGTCGATCACTTTGTTGAAAATGTCGACATTTCTCCTTATAAGTCTCTTACACGTAGTCGACTAGTCCATGTTTTAGGTCGACCGCTTTCTTCCTTCTGAACGGTGACGTTGGTATAACGATCGACTGCAAATCTGCAACTACTTATTGGTCGGCCATTTTGTCCAAATCATAGTAACTTGCAAGTCAGAATAGGTATATCATCAAGTTTTATCCCAATTATCATCGTAGCACAAATACTACTAGTATATCATCAAATACTTGAATTTTATATAAAGAGTTTGCAACACACTAACTGGAGCTGGGAACAGGCCCATTAGAGCATCCACATTGGTATTGCATTCTGATTGCAAAATGACATGGCATAGGTGTTTGCAATTGCAACCAAGTGCATTGATGTGGCTAGGGCTGGGAAACAGTGCGGTCTGGTCCAGACCAGACCATATATATGGTCTACGGTCCAGATCGAGAGGCTAAAGTATAGACCACAGACCAGACCACAGACTATACGGACTGGTCCAGACCACGCCTGTGCGGTCTGGTTCGGTCTGGTCTGGTCCAAATAGACCACACTCAACGAAAAATGAATAATTTGTTTAGTCAACCACACAAAAAATTGAACCAATAACCAAGAAAAATAATTGTTATTTGCCTTAAAACATTAATCCTAACATGCATGAATAATTTTGATACTCTAAATCTTAGTACATAACAAAGATACAAAGTAAAAGCATTCCAGCTTGCACCATAATGTCATAAACATTAACATAATGTCATATGGAGACACGATTATCTCTACTCTGTGGTTAAATGTGGTTGTGAATGAAGGAGGGAAGAGATTCACAAAATTAAGGTTGAGACTTGGGTGTCGTTGTGGGAGTTTGGAGAGTGGTCGAATGGGCTGTTAACACGAATTGACAAGTCAGTTGGGTCTACGGTTTGGTCCGGTAAACCGCGGTCTAGACCAGACCAGACCAAGAGATCAAATCATAAAATAATACAGACCATGGACCAGACCAGACCATACTTCACGGTCCACGGTCCGGACCAAACTGTGCGGTACGGTTTGGACCACGGTTTTTCTAACGGTCTGGTCTATTTTCCCAGCCCTAGATGTGACTACCAATTGCATATTTGCAAGCTTGCAACAAATGCAATTCCATATGCAAGTAAAAAAGCCTAAAAAATGAAGATTTTTTTATTTTATATTATTTTCTTTTCTCTTTTACTTAATTTTCTATAGTTTAAACATAATTTTTAATTATATTTACAATTGCAAGTTAATTGCATTGATGTAGGTGAATGAAATGAATGTGATGTGGATTGTAAAAAATTGGTTTAATACACTTGTATATCCAAACTTTCACATTGGGCCAATAATATCCAAATTTCCCGAAATACCACTTATATCCATATTTTAAAGTTGTTTTTTGCCAAATTTATCCATTTCCCAATATATTTTTGGTTAAATACACTTGTATATCCAAAAACACAGTTAAAGAATGTGAAGGAATTGGATATAAGTGGTATTTCGGGAAATTTGGATATTATTGGCACAACCGTAATTTTTTTTTATATGCAAGTGTATTTAACTAAAAAACTTGAGTTGAGAATAAAAAACACAAATTCAATTTCATTATCAATGCATTGATGGAGATGCTCTTAACTGACAAACCCTAATTAGTGCTGATATTACCAAACAATTTATAACCTTTGTCTATCTCCAGTGCCGTTGGGAACCCTGGGAATCCAGAGAAAACTGAACTGTCATGTCACAAGTGGCATTTCCCCCCTTGTTTTGCAGTTATCAATCAAAAGTCTAAAGCCTTTGCTCGACATAGTTTCGTTAGGCTTGGACTCAGACAAAAGACAGGAAAATATATGCTTTTAGTATTCTCTACTCCAATCACCTGCAATTCACACAGCGCGTTCGAGCTGTAACATAGAAATTGCAACGCTAAAAACTGTAAAAACATGAACTCTGAATTTTAGATAGCCTCAACTCAACTGTGATCCACTCTGGACAATATTCTACTTTTGCAGGAAAGACGCCAGGTTATTCTCGATCTCTTCTTTCGCCTGTTTGTCAAATGGTTCTTCACCAATGTATAGATCTAAGATGGAGCGACACAGGGCCTTGCTCTCAATACTCCCTACGTCCTTTCCCTCAACTGTGGACACAATAAAAGCAGAAGTAAACAGATGTATGACTATTGACTACCACCCATGAAGCTACTCTACACACAAATCAACAGCAATAACACAATAGAAACCTTGGAATCGACATGATCGTTCAAAACACCACTAAATATGATCTAGAATGAACATATTACAGATGAGAAAGATCACCCTGTATGATAACATATAAGGGATGGGGAGTCTTACTTGTCGTACGAAGAACATGGCCTCGTTCCCTTGAGAGTTCTATTACAGAACCCCGTGGTATTTTATACTCATCCTTGAACTGGGAAGTGAACCTACAGACCACAGGAAGAAACGTCCATGACTGGATATTCAACTCGTACTTAAAACTGGAGACTAGAAGAAATGTAGTACTTGCAGTTCAGTACCTCTGAAGCAACTCCTTGTTATCCGTTCCACCGAACTTTTGCAGCCTGCTGCCAACTGAATCCTCGAAAGCATTTCGAACAGAACGAATGCTTAGCTTACCATACACTATCTGAAGTCTAACGGTCAAACTTATATCCGCCTCTAGAAGTTCCTGTTTGAGTTCGGCAGCAGAAAGTTTTCCACTCTTGTCACCAAGAGATATCCTCACTTCATCTTTATCAGCGTACACGCCTGTTGGGAATTCATTTTCCCTGTCAGAAACTTTACAGCAGTAACATCTCACCATTATCTTAAGCGTGCTACACAAAGGTTCTACTAGAAACCATCAGCCACTCTACTTGTTCAATTTTTCATATCACATCTACACAACACAGAGATTAACCCAAAATGGAGCTACATCGAACTAAAATCATTGCAAAATCTAGCAAATTGGCCTCGGGGAACCCAACATGCAAAAATGAAGTCACTCCTGTTGTTAGTCAACGGAGAAACCTAGTGGATTGAATGGGATCAAATACAATAGACAAAATGGAAAGAGAGGAGGCTCGAAGAAACCAAGGAAATAAGGAGACAGTTACCAAATGCGTAAACATCGATGCTCTTCAACCCCAATAGGCTCTTTCTCCTCAACCCAATGCCCAAAAGCTTCCGGCTGCCCGAAATCACGCAAGGGAACGACTCGCCGGTCTTGGATTCGACGACGGAAGCCGGGCCGTCGGCAAGGGCGAGGGAGGCCCACGGCAGCGAGGAGCGAACGGAGAGGAGCGAATTAAGAGCATTTTCGACCACAGAGGGCTCACCGCCTCTAGAGTTCTTCGAGTAGGAGATTGCGGCGAATGTGGCGGCACCGGCTGCGACGGAGCAAGCGACGGCAGAGAAGGAGTGGGAGCGGGAGGTGGCGGCGGCCTTGGAAATGACGTTGGGTTGGTTACCGGGTTGTGGAAATGAAAAGGGGAATCGGAACGAAACCATTTTTTCCGGGTCGTTCTTGTTTCTTTTCTTCTTTTTAGTAGTTTTGGTTCTGAAAATGAAAGTCCACCAGTCGTCGTTAAGGCAAGTCCGACATGGAGCCCAAAGAATGTGTTGGGCCCATGAACGGTTGGGCGTTAATTACGAGATATCTGATGAAGCCCACCTCTTACACCCTACTAGTAACCGGCAAGTTTATATTTTCAAACCCCAATCATACTAGATTTAAGAGAAACCCTTGGGAGGAGGATTTAACTCATCTAAGAGTTAGCACTATGCGAACTACTCTGATCACCGTTCATTACTTTTAAATTATATATTTGATAATTAGAAATAGTGAAGGGCTTGTTTATATTTTGAAAAAATTAAATTTAATAAATAAATAAATTTTAATATTAATCTTCTCTCTCAATCTTCGTAGAGAACTTTAACGTGCAAAAAATACTACTGAAAAATTACTACTAGTCAAATTAGTAGTTATTTAACTTAAGAGTTGTAGTGATTTTGTGATTGTCCGTAGTAATTTTATTGTTATTAGTAGCATTTTTTAATCAGTAAAAGTTGATGATTTTTGAAAAACGCTACTGTGAATGAAATAAAGTACTACAAAGAACAAATATAACTATTATTATACAAAATACTACTAATACTTTACTCATTGCACTGCTCAACTGCTGATTACAATAAAAATTAATGCGAATACATATGAAAATCACTACTCCACAATCTCTACTAACCCAAACAACAATTAATCACCTAATAATATAGATCTGGCAAAATTCTCGTTTTCCATTTGCCGATGCTTTTGTGGGCGATTGACGACAGTGGTGGTGGGAACTGGGAAGCCAACGGAGGCAAGGTCAACAAAAGGGCGGCGCAGGCTCTTATCTCTCCATCGAACGAGAGCCTCTCCCCATATCTGGATTTGTCTCCTCTTCCGTCATCATACGATGACCCGCCTCCTCTCCGGCCGCAAGTGTTACGGTTTAATCGAAGCGTCAACATAGGTGAGGTGACCAGAGTTGAGAGCAACATATGGCTATGTCGAGGCTGTTGCGAGTGATGGCGACGCGGTTGCGTACGAGGCGGTTGCATTCCATTGCGGGCAAAGGCGATGGTGATGGCGAGGCTGAGGTCAGCACGGCTAAGGTTGACGCATGCATAGTCGAACGGGAAGGGGAATCGATGGAGATTAGTGTTTCTTTAGATAGAGAAGAAAATAGGGTCTGGATTTTTGAGAGGGAGAGAGAGACAATAGGAGAGGTGGGTGGCCGACTGGGGTGGGTATGGTAATAACCCATTCGAACAATTTGTTACAAATATTATCCATAAATTTATGTGAATTCATTTATAAATAAAATTTAAAATACAAGTACTCTACAGTTGATCTTCCATTTTCATATTGTGTATAATAATACAAGTTAACATATTCACACCAAGTGACTACACTTCCCAAATACGACTCGGTCCTCAAACAATGACTCATCTTTGTTGTAGTATGACAAATGCTCTCTCAACATCCTTGCGATATACTTATTGGTACTTTGCAAACAACTTTTTTTCTGGTTACTTGTATTGTTAATAGTCTTCACAAATGTAGCCCACTCAAGACAAATTCCATCAATCAAGTAATAATATTGATGATACGTCTTATCATTCACCTCATACCTGACCTTGAGAACCAATCCTCATACTGTTTGATCTAATCATGGAGATACTCTAAGAGTATTGATGCCATTGTTTGATCCAGGTGTTCCGAAGAATGCATGCCAAATCCATGTGTCGTAACATGCTACAACTTTGAGGATAAATACAATGGTTGGTTTCTTTTTGTGCCTAGCTAGTGTATTTGCCTACCCACCCAGAAGGATAGGGGTGGGCATGCAGTTCGGTAAACCTGAACAACCGAATCGAAACCGAACTAAATCGAACCGAAACTGAAATAATGTTTTTCGGTTGGAAATTCGGAAGCCAAAAGCCCATAATTCAGAAACCAGGGTATGTAGACCGAACCTAAATTCCGATCAACCAAACCAAAAAACCGATCTACAACTAAAACCAATAACCTTACAACCCAACAGACTACTCAAGCCTCTCAACAAAGCCCAAAAATCTCACAGGCTCACAACCCAAAATTAAATCCCTTGGCCCACAACTCCTCCATCTGCTGCTAATATAACCCTATCAAAAATACAAACATGACCCAAGCCGCCGTCCATCAAGCATCAGCAGTAGGCACCGCGAACCCTCCTCTCATCTCTCGGCTTTGTCGTTGCCTCGTAATTGAGAGACGTGACCGAATCCACCCTTCTCTCTATTCTCTTCTCCTCGCTAGGCATTGGAGTTCGAGACCCCTTTCTCTTCTCTCCTCTCCCATTCTCTTCTCCTCGCTGTCCCTTAGACAAGAAATCCGAACAAAAAACTACATGCATCAAAATAACTACGTACTTAAAATTATTCGAGGAACCCACATGCATGTCAGAATGGCTTACCTGATCCTAGATTAATCTTCGTCGTCTCACTTCGGTGGGATTGGAGCACCATCAACCCTCTTGCCGCTACCGCTGCCGTCCGCACACACTGAGATCTTCTCGTTCCTTCATAGCTGGCGTTGACCCACCGGGGTAAAACGAGAGGAACAAATTTGAGGAAGAGGAGATAGAGTGGTCATATGTGAGGATTGAGGAGCAATGGGGATTGGGGAAGCTTGTTTGTTAGGGAGGGAGAGAAAGAGAGAAGGTAAATAAGAAGCTTGGGAAAGCTTTGTTTGCTGGGGAGAGAGAGAAGGTAAAGAAGATTGGGATTTGGGAAAGCTTTGTTTGGTGGGGGGAGAGAGAGAGAGAGAGAGAGAAGAAAAGAAACGGTAAGAAGAAATGAATACCCCCATCTCTCATTTGGGTTCTCTGCTCTCTACAGAGGCCAAAGATTATTAAAAAAATCCGTTTTGGTGGAAAATTCGAACCAAACCGAAGTATAATTCAGTTCGAATTCGGTTTGAGCTGTGGCATAGTTCGGGGACCCGGTATGCTACATTTTGGTTTGGTTTGGACCGAACCAAACCAATGCCCGCCCCTACAGTCGGACCATTCTTCCACACCTAGTACAAGTCAATAGAATCAATCTTTCCTAGAAATCCACGTTGTGCAGCATGATGAAGGAGGAGATGAGTATCTTCCACCATTGGTGCACGCAAGTACCGAGCACAAAATATGTTGGTGCCAGCCGAGCATAAATTCTTCAAACACTCCAATATGGTGTTCTCACCCATTCGCAAGTCTCTTCCAACGAGTCTGCTGAGCATCAGTATGCAATGCGGAAAGAACTAGTAAGCTTTTGGTGTGAGGAGAATGAGTCATGACCTGCACAATCTCTATCTTGCTTGAAGTAGACATTGTTGTTGACAACAACATAAATTATCTGGTTGAATAAGGCATGGGGCATCCGATAACGTCTTGTGAAGGCTTTGGCATCGTATGTTGTAATTAAGTTGAAGTAATCTTACATCAAGCGTTTGTGACCATCTTCCTTGTTACGCTGATTTTTGTGATGATGAACCACAACAAGAAGATATTGGTTATTGTTCACGCATGATTGTTCCGTACATCATAAACATCTATGTATGTTCACGCTCAAGTTGACACTCATACTCCCATTGCATGTCATTAGCTTTCCTTTCCCTCTCATGAGGTTCTCTATCAAGGGAATTTATGAAGGCAAAAGAGTTTTGGGTGGAAAGAGAGAAGAATGAAAGTTGAATTTTTTTGTCCAAGAAAGAAGGTTGATAGATGGATGGGTAAAATGACCAAGTTCTAATGGTCAATTACAGAAGCACGAAATGATTCTTTTGCAATAATGGTCGAACTTTTCTTCCGGATGATGACACAACTCTACATGGTTAAAGCCGAATGAACAGTTGATGACACGACTCATTCTGGCTAAAGTTGAATGAACAATTGACGACACAACTCATTCTGATTAAGGTGAATGCACAGTTAATGACACCACTAAATCTGACAAACATGTAAAGTGTCTATTATCATTTCAACAAATTATTGTGTTTTCGTAATTAATGACATCATATTAATGATATATTTTTTTATGTAAAAAAAAAAAAATTTATATCTAACGTTCGTCATAATTAATTATTACTATATGTATACAAAGAATCTACAAATTATCTTATTAAAATGATAAAACCTACTCTAAACTAGATTATCACAAAAAGAACAAATTTGGCATTTTGACATTGCTTATTGGAGTAAAATCATTTTTTGGGTGCTAAAATGTTAAAACCATTTGGCATTCTAGCATTTTTCACAATTTGTTATCGGAGATAGTCTAAACATAAGCTCTTAGCTTTAGAAGCTCCTTAGGAATGAATTACACAGTAATTGTGGAAAAAAAACTTTAAATGGTTTTAACTCCCAATAAGTACACATTAAAAGACTCGATGAATTGATGGTCTTTCCTCTGATTATGGATGAATGTTACAATGTTATATAGCATTGGTGCTATAGGGTTTTGCTTTAATGATACAACTTGAAATTGTACATTTGACGTTGTGGTACAACTTCAGATTGTACTTATATTTTTTGTACAAATTCTTTTATGGTACAACTTCAAGTTTTAAAGTTGTACCGTAACATAATGGTACAAATTCCTTTATGGTACAACCTGAGCTTATACATTTAACGTTATTGTACAATTTCAAGTTGTACATTAAAGCACCAATGCTTTATAACATAGTAAAATTGCTACTTATTCTGTCAAACGCCAAGTACACATACTCTCAATGCCAGCACAAATAATCACAAAAGGCAAAACCATTATTGGAGGTTTAAGACGGAATATTAAGACGGAGCAACCGGAGTCGGAGAGCATCTTGAGTGAATCGCGCCAAGTCGTTCCTAAAGAATTCTACACAACTAAGAGCAAAAAAAAAAAAAAAGAGCATATGTGACAGACGATTTCCATTTGCATCGGTTCCTAATCAACCAATCCACCCTGAATATAATGCTAGCTCCTGTAGGGTACGAAACCAGTTTTCATTGGCGGAAA